GCGACGAGTCTCGTCGAACGGAGTTCGGGAACGAGATTCATGAGATTCTTGGTAGTTGGATGAAATTGTGTTCCGTTTGAGGTGAAAAAAAAAAGAAAATAGATGAAGTAAGTTTTGATTTTTAGAAATTGTTTTGCGTAATAAAATTGTGTTTGATGTCAAGATACAATAGAGTTAATTGATTTTTTTATTGATTGGAGAATGAATAATTGGATAGTATATGTTCAAGATGTAAATTATCGTACTTTTTGTTTAAAATGTGACGTAAATAGTGGTATTTCAAAAATATTGATCTTGATAATTGTCTTTTGGTAAATAGAATTATCATATAAATATTTAAATAGATGGAAATATTATAGTATATATATATATATATATATATACATAATAATAATAAAATATAGAAAAATAATAACTGTTTTGAAAAATTATATTTTTACGAAGATTAATTAAGATAGGATCAATAATTGATATAAAAAGTCTATTAATAATGTAATAATTTAATAATATAAAAGTCTTTTTCTTTCATATTATTATTTAAGAGATATTCTCATTAATATTTCATAACATTCTTTAAGAATTTCTTACAGCAAAAGTATAAGAGTTAATCTATTGAAATTTTATTATATCATTATACTATTTTATTACACTATTATACGATATAATTACTCTATTCTAATAACTTTTTTCTTTTTTTAAAAAATATTTCTTTAATCTGTTCTCGAGAAACATAATGGCGGAATTTAATTTTTAATCTCCACGTAATATAATATATTATGTATATATATAAAATTTATAAATCTCTTTAACCTGAAATAAAAATTTTAATTTTCATAAGTTTAATAAGAATATGGAAAGATCAGGATATTAAAATAAACATTTTATGACGAAAATTCTTAAAATGGTGGCCATTAAACTAAGATACTAAAATTGTAAGATAAACGTAAAAAATTGTTAATAAAAAGGAAGTATGTATTATTCAAGTGATTTTAATAACAGATCGGGGCAAATATATATATGTCGTAAATATAAATCGTTAAAATTTTATCGATAATATCGTACAAATGTTAATATTTCTCGCCAATGAAAATATTTCTGAATAAAAACAAGAAACAAAGGAAATGTTTCACAGCCATAAAATGAAATTTTTATCAGACTTGTAATAAGTCGTAAACGAATCCGGATCGCAATACCATTAAAATCGATTCATTAGTACCAGCTACTGAAGGGAAAATCGCTTTGTTAATGCTTCAATAATACGTACGACATACACTGAACGATCACCGCATACATACTTATATTTTTGCGAATTATCAATTTTTAGTCAACATCATTGAATTCGTAATGCGTATCCAACATAAATCTGGACTCGTTAATGTACCCGTATAACCCAATGAAATATTAATGAACGTAGAAATATTCGTTTTCACGAACAAAGAGAAATCTCGTAATTATTGGCGCCCTCTTTCGCTTTATCCAACCCCTTCTCTTGATCAAACCTTACCCTCGTAGTTTCAAACATCCCTCCAATAACCTGCTGTCTCTTTTCCTAAATATTAAATTGGCCACAAAGTTTTATTAACATTTATATTTGCTCGAGTTGTTTCTATGAACCGATTCCAATGAACACATCAATCAAATTGGATTGAATTGTAATTAATATTTCGTGAATTTAATAATTTATTCATATATCTTATTACATACACTTTTTGTGATATCAGAGACACTTCGTCATTATTGATGAAAATGTGTGAATGTATTGATAATTTATCTACAAAACAAGGAATAGATAGCATGTAATTAATTTTCTAGTGTTAACAAATGTGTTAACTGCACATAATAATATATAAGATATAAGAAATATAAGAAAAGCATTTAGAATTAATGGAATTGAGTAAAAAATTATTTTCCAGCAGAACAATATTACATGCATCAAATAAGAATTGGATTTAAATATTCTTCTTCATTTACTATAATATATTCTCTACAATTTTATTCTCTTTATATTATTATCTTTTTTTGAAATTTTTTTGTAAATTTTTCAATTTTGAAGAGATAAAAAATATCTAGATCAAATTTTTGAAAAACAAGAATTTTTGCAAATGAGATATTCTTCTTGAAAGATTGAAGTAACAACACAAATTAAAATGGAGAATATCTAATGGAGTAAAGATATTTATTTTTTTAAGAAAAAAGAAAGAAAAAAAGAATTTTCCATCAGTTTTATATATCCTTATCTTTAAAACGAATATTTTTTTGCGTTTCAAATTAGAATTCAATTGATCTAATCAGAGGTAATTAACGTGGCTAATTAATCGACGTTATTCGCTATTGTTTCAGGATGTTTGGAAGTAGTGGTGCTTGTGCAGGTTGCGGCAACGCGATACCTGCCACAGAGCTGGTAATGAGGGCGGGTGGATCGGTATTTCATCAGAAATGCTTCACCTGTAGCAAATGCGGAAATCAACTCGTTTCCGGCGATAGGTAAGATTCAGATCTGATTAATAGACTCGCTAACAATTGTTATTGTTACGTTCTCACTGGAATAACAACGAAAAAGAACTTTTTGTTGTCTCTTGCATGTTCCACAAACATTGCCAACTCATAGAAATATTTTCTCTAGATTGAAAGTAACATAATTTCATGAATATTTTTAGTTTTTCTTTTGAAACTTGAAAATTAATTTGATTCAAACTATGATTAAAGAATTATTATTATTATCAACTGTAAAAAAATAAAGGAGTAAAAAATATTCAACCAAAGAATATCGAATCTAGATTACAAGAAATTTAGAAACAACTTCATATCATAGCTTATTAACAGATGAATAAAATCTTTAGAATTTTAATATTATACAAATATTCATATCTTCTATACTCCAATTAATTGGATAATTAAATCAAGATAAAAATAGTAGAGCATCAACAAAAAATTTTTCATTGTTTCAGTGAAGAAATAGTTGTATAATTATATTACAACGCTAGAGTATCTTGGTATATCCGGGGAAATCTGGGGATGAAATGGAATCAATAGTAGATGTCGTGAACTCGATATTATTAGAATTTTACCAATAATTCCGTTTAGGGTGAATATATACAACTCGAGGAGAAAACGCGGCAATTAAAGGGTTGGAAAAGAGGCGTGTCACATGGGACTGTCGGTTAATTGGTGGGGATCGCAACTGGGGATTTTGTAATAAAGGAGGAGGGACACAATTATCGCCCGGTAATGAAGCAATCTTGTTTATGAGCATCGATTTCGTGGATGCTCTGTGTGTGCTCTGCTTGATTACAGCCGTTCGTTTCGAAGCACAATTTTTGTTCGTACGAAACGATTACCTGTATTACTTTTACTACTTCCATTGGTATTGGCACAGGCGTAGTGCAAGTACAGATATATACTATATATGTATATAGTCAATTCTTCGTACAGAATAGAAATGTAAGACGAATTACGAGTTATTGATCATTTAACAACCTATTAAATAGTCCCATTGATCGTGTACAATCCTATCTATAAGTCATTAGACTTTATGGTATTTCAGGATACGTATAAATTATACGAATATTACAATGTTAACGAGTAATATTACATTCTTAGATACGCAGTACAAATTGCAGTTACAAATCACAACTGCAATAAATATTTTGTCAAAATTTTATATGATCGCAATAAAATAAATAAATAAATAAATTTACAAAATTAATCAATCCCTACGTTGGAAATTATAACCAATGATTTATAGACAGGAATGTACGTTCACAATTTTACTTTCTACTCTCACCGTATTAAAAAAAATATTATTAAGAGACATTTCTTCTTGCCCAGGTACTACTTGCTATCGGGGTCACCGGTGTGCG